CGTTTCATGGTGGCAGTCCGGCAATTATTTTTTGATGGAATGGGCGGTCCGGCGTTTTGAAGTTGCGGTCTGACATGTTGAATGGGAAGTCCGGCATTTTGATATGACGGTCAGACATTTTGAAGGGGCAGTCCGACGTTTTGAAGTGAGCAGTTCGGCATTGTACAAGTGTAGTCGGGTGTTTCCTTTTATTGAGATCAAAATATGATTTTTTACATGACGGAAGGGTATTTTCATAAAAAAAAAAAATTAACTTTTTGTATAGGGGGTATTTGCTGGGAAACATGATTTTTTCTGGGAAGTTGCCAGGAAAAGTTGGGTGGGGGCTAAAGTATGTAAAAAGTCCATTTTGGGGGAGTTTTTGCAATTTTTATTTTTTTTAGAGAAAATATTTCCATATTCCTTATTTTTAGATTTTATTTATTAATAAACCCAAGGTTTAAAAAAATATCTTCCAATACTTTAAACCTATTTTTTAAAGTAAATAAATGTGAAAAATACATGCTCGTTATAAACCCAATCCCTTCTCTCTCTTCATTAATATACCCCAAACTTATCCCTTTATCTCTATTGCTATATGTTTCACTCTCGCTCCTCTTGTTTTATCTAAACATATCTTTTTCTCTTTTACGTATTTGTCCAAACACCTCTCTCTCTCCTTTCGGTAACCTCTCACCACCAAGCATCTCTCTCCTCTTGTGTTTATCTAAACACATCTATCTCCATGTGTTTATCCAAATACCTCTCTCTCTCCTTCCGATAGCCTCTCACCATTACACACCTCTCTCTCTTCCTGCGTTTATCCAAATACATCTTTCTTCCTGTGTTTAGGGCGCTTTTGTTTAGAATAATTTATTTCTCCATAACAAATAAGTCCCTAACATTGTAGCAAACCCCGTATTTGACACACGATAAGTGCCACAATGTCCGTAACTTATTGGAATGTTTTTATTCCTCAACTTTCTGATTTTTCATTTAAAAATAATAACTTTTTTGTTTCATTGCTAAGCCAAAGAACTTGTATATGGAAACTTGTTTGTGCCCAATTCCCCAATATTTTATCGATATTATTTGTAATTATCAATATAATATAATATTATCCATAATATTAGTATTATTAGTATGATATGATATATATTTATATTACATATCAGTTTCAAAGTGTATGGGGGAGATTGGCATTGACTGATAAGCAAAATTGTTCAGCAAGGTGTTGAGAATAAAGAAAATACCAGATGAATGGAAGAAAAGTATTGTGGTACCTATTTACAGGAACAAATGAAAAATAGAAAATTGTGCGAACTATCGAGTAATCAAGCTTATGAGTCGTACCATGAAGCTCTGGGAGAGAGTGATTAAGCAACAACTAAGGCAATAAATGAATGTATCAAAAAACCAAATTGGTTTATGCTAAGAAGGTCAACGATTGATACTATTTTTCTACTTAGGCAACTGATTGAGAAGTTTAAGGGCAAAGGGAAAAGACCTCCACGTGGCATTTATTTATCTAGAGAAAACTTACGATATAGTACCTCGATACTTGATTTGGTAGGTGTTGGAAAAGAAATGACTTTCTAAACACTACATCGACTTGGTGAGAGATATGTATGATTGAGTGCTATCTAGTATACAGATAACTAGTAGAGAGACGAGTGAGTTTTTCAGTGACAATAAGCATACATCAAGGGTTAATATTAAGATTGTACCTATTTGTATTAGTTATGGATGACTTAATTCCACACCTACAGGATAAGGTACCCCGGTGCATGTTATTCGCAGATGACATAATTTTGTTCGATGAAACCCTAAACAACACCGACACAAAGTTAGAATTTTGGAGGGATGCTATAGAATTCAAAGGTTTTAAATTTAGTTAGACTAACACAATAATATATAGAATGTAAGTTTAGTAATAATAGAAGTAGAGACAAGGAAGTAGTTAAGATTGACGGCCATGAAGTATAAAAAAGACTGCCCTTTTGATATCTTTGGTCAACAATTCAGGAAAATTGAGAGATTGAGTAAGATGTCGCACACATAATCAGAGTTGAATGGGCGAAGTGGCGATGTGCAATTGAATTTTTATGTGATCATTGCATACCAATGAAGATGAAGGACAAATTCTATAGGATAACTGTGAGACCGGTTTTGCTTTATGAGGTTGAATGTTGGGTGGATAAAAAAATATACACCCAAAGAATGAGTGTGGCGGATACGAGGATATTGAAATTGATGAGTGGTAAGACAAGAAGGGAAAACATTCGAAACGAATCCATTCGGGAGGATTGAGGTGTGGCACCAATAAGCGTTAAGAAGACAAATAGTAGACTTAGGTGGGCTGGGCATATGTGACGCCTACCAAGTACAACACCTATTAGGAGGTACAAGTCTATTCAAGTGGTAGAAGTTAAAAAGGTAAAGGGTAGGCCCAAAAGGACGTGGTTGGAAGTAGTTCTGAAAGATATGAGAATTTATGGTATCACTGAGGGTATGACTTTTAATAAAGTAGAATAGTGGACTATGATTCGTGCAGCCGACCCAAATTAATTGGAAAAAGGCTATGATGGTGATGATGATTTATATTATATATCATTTATTATATATATTAAACATATATACAATAATATAAATAATATATTATTTTATATTATATTGTATTATATATATTAGTATAACATAATATTATCTATAATACTAATATATTAGTATAATATAATATATATTATTACTATAGTATATAATAAGTATTATATTATATTATGTATAATACAAATATATATTAATAAAATAAATATAATATATAATATGAGTAATGATCCTATGAGACCCTCCCACACCCATGTGTGTAGGACCCCAAAGGATCACTATTAAGTTTGGTACAGGTCTATAGAAAAGTCAAGTCCCACACCCAAGTGGTAGCTTTTATAAAGATATGTGCTAAATTTAATCGTGATCCTTTGGGGTCCTACACACATGGGTGTGGGAGGGTCTCATAGGATCATTACTCTATATAATATATAATATTATTTTATTTTATTTTTCTATAAATTTATTTATTATTAGATTTAATTAAATTTAAAATTGTTTTTTAGATTAAAATATGGATTTGGAGCTGGCGCTGCTAGTGGACTCAGAAAAAATCGGATCTGTATAGATCTGGGATTTTTCTGAGCCCATAATTAAAGCGATCCCACTTTCTCTACCTTTTTCAAAAAAATAATTCATTGTTTGCTAAGATTTGAGTATATCTCATCTCAGAGATTGGCGCAGATCGGAGCGTAAACATAAACAAAATGCTCATAACATATTCAAACACAATACCCGTAACTTATTTCAGAACAAATAAGTCCACCTCTCAGCAAGGAAGAACTTATTTTTTCCAGAGCACATTCTTAGTGTTAGAATTTTATGATAGCTTGGGATCTATGTTTAACTATAATTATGAAATTTAAAATTTCAAAAATACTATAGATCGAACAAATTTATAAACACTTGAAAATATTAAAAATATACGGTCTATATAACTTGTTATAAGATACTTTGTTTTAGGTCTTGAATTTCTTTTTTCTTTTATATTCGTACATCACGAGTTCATGATGATCAATTGGAAGCTTTTTCAACTTCGGAACACTCTTTTTCTACGGGATTTTGAGGTTTAGATTACTTCTATAGTGTGAGTTTGCAACCTTATATAAAAAATTTTCCTTTATCAAATACTTGCGAGAAAACATTAATTTAATAAAATAAATGTAGATGGCATAAAATGATGGAAATTTTATATTTTGTATGATGGAAAACCTACTATTAGGATGTATAAAGTCACTCAAAATATAATTCCACCATAGATCCATATGTTTGTGGCTCAAAAAATGGTGCAGATATGATAGTGCAAAAAAATAGTAAAGATAAAAATAAATAGTGCAAACAAAGATAAAAATACCAACTTTAAAAGAAATTTCATTTTTTTTTCTAGAGCCACGCGCACTATGATGGACGGTATAGACTACTGGAAGATCGATTTTAGAGGGGACTGCATATAAATAGGTGTCGTCCCCAAAGCATCTCTCATTAGTTTTGCAAATTTGTGAAAAGATTTACTCGTTTCCAGAGGAACATACTTTACATTGGAGTAGTTTTCAAGAATCCATAATCTAGGGATGTAATCTCACAAGTAACCTCAAAAAATAAAAATCTCAAATTGCATTTTTTATATACTTGAAAAATAATAATGTCTTAAGATTGAACAATATTGTCTGACTTTTAGAGGGAAAATAATGTCTTAAGATCTAACAAGACTGTTTTAACTTTTAGAGGGCAAATGTCTGAGTGACATAAAGGCTCTGATTTTTTTTTGCGGATAATCATAAGTTTCTAATTGGATTGTAAAGTTTAAAATACAAAATAGGATTATATACAATGAAACTATTTACCTTTGATACAAAGATGTCACAATTACTTGCAATCATATGATGCAAAATTTAATAGCCCGGGTGTGTCACAAAGTTTGAGAAAAATTATTTTGAATATTGAGCTTGTTCAATAGAATAAATGAAGGCACCTAATTTCACATCCAACCAATGTTATCAGATTTGTTTCAAATACTTCTTTGGTTTGTTGAGAAAAACAAAGCAATTTGGTGTTTCAACCGATTCGGGGGAAGGTTTGGCTCAATCGAGCTGAAGCAGACCAAAGTGGCCCGAAGCTGATCGAAGCGGCAACACTGGGCTTCGCTTCGCTTTAGTCTAGGCCTAAAATCCGAAGGCGGCCTCTTCGGCTAAAGTAAAATGGATATGACAACATTGCATCCAACAATTAAGATTAATTATGACCACCTTGTACGAAAGATAAATCATCTCCTTGTATACTTTTTTCTAAGAAAAAAAAATATAACATATCTTCTTACTAGTTTGCTTGCCTGTGGGAGTTAATTTACAGTGTAGTCATGCGGAAGCACATTGTTAACGCAGTTCATATTTTATACCACGAGGGAGTGGGCACTGGCGGTGAAATTGGAAGTGTGCTGGCCTTTCTTTTTTGAAGAAAAAACATCGGAGGGAGAGAGCTTTTATTGTTGATCTGAAAAATTAGGGTTTAAGCTTTAAATTGTGGTTCTTTTGGAGCCATGGATTTTCAGGTCGTTGTTCTCGCAGGAGGTACCTCGAAGAATCTCATCCCCCTTGTTTCGAAGGTAAAATTTTTTCACCCTAGTTCCGTCTTAACTATTTTCTCTATTTTTCTTCGTAATTCTGCATTCTCAGTTTGGTCCTAATATCCATGAATGGGCCTGCAACTCTTCGATAGTTTAGGTTTTCTGGTCTATTCTCTCTGCTTTTCATTCAATTCGATCAGTGTTTACTTCAGCTTCCTTTTTTTTTTTTTTTTTTTCTGGTTTCCAGTATTTTTGTGCATTGTTATGATAATCTTTCAAACATATTTAAACCAATTTTCCCTAATTTTTAACCTGCAACTCTTTGAATTCCTCTTTCTCAGTTTCTTTTGGTCAATTTATGTATTCTTCAAACTTATTAATCTCAATTCGTTTACCATTTCCGAGCATTTCCTTCTCATGTTTCTATTCAGATTCTTATTATTATTGCGGCAATGGAATATTGTTCTATCATTTTTTCCATGGATTATAACTTGTAACTCTCTTAAACTCCATGGTTTGAGTTCGCTTTTTATACAGTTTTCTTTGATAGTTATGTAGCAATTCAGTGTAAATTTATGAGAAAGTTTGAACATTTGACTTTTTACGGTATTTACAGGATGTTCCAAAGGCTTTGCTTCCTGTGGCGAACAGACCAGTGCTCTCATATGTGCTTGAACTTCTCGAAGCAAGCAACCTCAAAGACTTAATCCTGGTTTCTGTTCTACTTTATCTCCAATCTTACTCATGGCTTCAATACTTGCTCTACTTCTCAAGCACATTTACCTATTTTCCAGTTGTGTACCCATACACACTTATGTTTTCCCTTTTTATTTATTATTATTATTATTATTTTGCTTTTTATTTGGTGATACAGGTGGTGGAAGGGCAAGATGCAGCTCTTCAAATTGGAAGTTGGGTCTCTGGTGCGTATGCAGATCGTCTTCATGTCGAGGTTGGCATATTCCCTACTCTTCCACTGATATATGCATGTGTTCTTGTAATTTTACGTAGGCATATCTATATGAACATTTGCATGATACGGAAGTGCACAAGTAGATAATGGACGCATGCGTATGTATATACACGTAGCAATGGATGTCCACCAATTTATATGAACATGCATATGAGTACACAAATATATATTTACACAAATGATGCAAGGCAAAATATTTCATTTGCAAGAACAATGTGGTTGAATGTGACTTGGAAATAATAAACTAGGACCATCTAAAAAGCAAAGAAAGGGAGATAAGAAAGATAAAAGAACTGCCAGCAGATGTTAGCTCAGAGACATTATAGTTGAGAGAAATTAGATAGGTAAGACTTAGAAGTTGGGTATAAGGTAAGAGTGTAAAGAGATTGTGGGGTGAATAGGGAGAGAAAAGGAGAGAGAGAGAAGAAAGAAAAAGAAAAAGAGAGAAACACACAGGGAGAAAGTAAAAAGTGTCTTCTGCCCAAAAGTATGAAGCTCAAAGTAAAGTCATGAATGGAATGTTCTGGGCTCCTCGTTGGCGAGTTGGTCAGCTTCATGGTTTCCCTCCCTTGAGGTATGCAGGTAATCGACTTGAAGCATAGGGAGTGAATATAATAAAAAATGTGGAAGACACCCAGGGGGTTCAGAGGATTTGGATGCTCAAGCAATGACATTATGAGATTCGGCCTCAACTATAAGACTGTTGCCCCAGCTGGGTTAGACTCTTGGGAGCTTTTTGCAAAGCTGTAGCCTCCATCCAATTTGAGTCCCCCTGGCCAATGTGGATGCAGAAAGAAAGAAGACAGTCACGATTCTAAATTTCTGAAAAGACCTCCAGCTCCACATGGGCCTTGGTTTCCCAAAGAGCAGCCGTCGATGTTGGCCTTAATGTTGCCTGTGTGTGGGGGATTCCAAGAGCCTGAGTGTGAGGGCTTTGGGATTCTTGACTTTGGAATTTGGAGCCATTTGTTTTGGAAGTCAACTGTGCTGAAACCCTTGATGGTTTGCAAGTTGAAGCCCAGAAGTTTGTGAGAATTCTGGCATTCTGAGCTATTGTGATTGCTGTATTCTTGGTTTCACAGAAGATACGGGAATTTTGCTCCTTCCAGATAGACCATAAGGTTGGTTGGATGGAGGCTCTCCACAGGGAAGTCCGGGCCTTAGCGAGAAAGAGGAAGAACCGGGGCGTGGGGTAGACTGTTTATAATTGAAATGCCTTGAGTGTTTGCTCCAAACTGCTCGAGCAAAGTGACAGTGGATGAAAACGTGGGAGTGGGATTCCTCCTTTTCCTCACACAAATGACAACTGTTGGCCAGGTTAAAATGTGTTCTTTGGAGTTGGTCAATGGTTAGGTTTTTATTGGAAATAGAAAGCCGAGAGAAAGCTTGAATTCTGGTGGGATATTTGTTAGCCAAGCTTCGTGGTGGACAATAGGGGAAAGAAGTTGTTGATGGTGCACAGATCTATCATAGGAGCCCCCAGAGATATTTTTAGAGTAGTGTTTGGTCTAGAAAAAAAAATCTAATAAGTTAGAAGTTAACAACCACATTGAAGTAGAGAAAATGCCAGTAGTGAAGTAGAATAAATATTGAAGAACCTGATCCTACTTCTTCAGAGACAATTGTATTACCCTTAAGGGAGAAATGAATGAACCTTGTGTGGGCCAATGTGGACCAAGAAGAATAGAATATGGACATTAAGCCTAGTTATTGCTGCAAATACACATCAGGCTATAAGTTTTATATCTAATCTTGTGAACTAGTCGTACGGAGGGGGAAAGAAGGGGAAGATTCAAACTGGGAAAAGGCTTGCAAATTGTGATCATTCTTACTGTCAGCCTTTTTTCTTGTCAGTTTTGTTCCTCCATGTGAGTATATGTTACTTTTTCTTTTTAACAATGTAACGAGAGTGTTCATGAGGGTTGCTTTTCTTTTCTCCCTTTTTATAAATTTGATGGTTGATTGAATGGGCTATTATGTCTAGAAAGTTCAAGTAAGCTAGTTTGGGCTCCTTTTGCTAGTTTATAAAAAAATGTTTGTTGTATTGTTTTGCCTACTTCAAAGATGGATTCAGGTTAGATTTAAAAAAGAGAGTCATGGTGGAGTTTATTGAAATATAGAAGACACCAGAATAAAATTTGGAAGGGCTTGATTAAGGAATTTCCAATCTGTAGTTTCTCTACCCAAGACTGTTCTCATTGGTACTGGACTGAGGGGCGGTGGTGGCTGATTCCTATGAATACCTTGGGAACAAACTGATTTTGGTCCCTAGATTTTGTAGGGGTCTGCTGGATCAAGAAATAGACGGGTTGGCTTCCCTTATAGACGAACTAAATGTCACTTACATTCTGGATGCTAGAATAGAAGTGAATTTTGTTCCCCCTGCTCCAAATTCACGGTGGTCTTTCTACCAACACATTGTTCAGAATACCTCTGGCACTTCACTGGTCATTAGTAGATTGTGGCTCTCCCCTTTACCACTGAAAATCCAGGCTTTCAATCTGTGGTGATCTCTGAAAAGGCTTTGCCAGTTGGCTAATTGCATCCAAGAGGCATCTCATTACCCAGTAGTCGTGTAAAGTGCAAGGAGGAAGAGGAATCAAGTGACCTTCAGAATTTGGTCCACATGCTCAATAGATTCAATTGGTCCTGGGCTGTTCAAATGCTATCAGACAACTATTTTTTGTCTATTTTACCCCTCCCTTTCCCTTCTTAGGCCTATCTTTGTGGAGGCTTCAGTCTTGGCTACGATCTGGTGAATTTGGCTTAAATCGCAATAAGCAGATTTTTGAGAGCCAATCAACTTGAGTGGAGAAAGTGATCGACCAGATTGTTGCTAAGGTAATAGAAATATATATATATATATATATATATTTTTTTTTTTGAACTTCTCTTTGTTTTTTAATTAGGGCCGACCCGGATAGGGCCAAGGCCTGCGCCAAGGCCCCCTCTCGCCCTAGTCTGGCCCTCAAGGGACCAGGCTGGGCTTGGGCCGGCCCGGGCAGGGCTATGCTGAGGCCCCAGTTGTTGCCAGCTCTACTCCGTAGTGGAGCCATATCATCCCTCAGAGTTTAAGGTCGTGGTGGACTCTTTATCTTCCCTTTCCCAATGTTTCAGAATAAGGTTCCTAGTTTCTTCTATCTTATTGTGTCCAACTGAGTTTCTGAAGGTGGCTGCTGTGAGGTCTCAATTTTTGTACAGGAATGACTGCTTATAGACAAGAGATTCCCATTGTCACCCTCTGCCTCCTCCCCATGGCCCCCAAACTCCAGGATGTTTGCGCTTGATTATCCCTTGTAAACAAGTGGTCTCAACACCAATTTTGGTGCAAAACGGCAATTCTGTGAGCTGTAATTACTATATTAACACAATACTATTGAGTTCACTCAAAAAAGGGAGACAAAAAAGGAACATCATTTCAACTTTTAGAAAGTAGTTTGTTTATTAAATTATCTCTCATTTGGTTTTTACATTTATATTGAGTTAGATGACCGAGAATTTTCACACTTTTGTGCAGGTAGCTACAGTCTCGGATGATGCGGGAACTGCAGGTGGACTTCGTGCTGTGGCTCATCACCTCACTGCAAGTGACATCTTGGTGAGGAAAATATATCATATTTCAAAATTTTCATCATTTTCACGAACCATTCTCTTCAAAGTGATCTTGCAGTGGAAGAAGATATGACAAAGTCCATTTTGTATCACTATAAATCGTTTTTTTCACCTTGTGCAAGCGACATTTTCGTTATATTTCATTTTTATTTATTTATTTTCATAAAACATTTTCTTCAAGCCGTCATCTTTGCCCTTTCCTTCTTTCCTCAATTATTTATCACTGGTGAAAACTATGTTAGGTTGTGAGTGGTGATCTACTTTGTGATGTGCCACCTGGGGCGATAGCAGCTGCTCATAGAAGGCAGGATGCGACCATGACTGCACTTCTTTGTGTGCCCCCTGTTAGTGGGCCTTCGGAAAGTGGTTCGGCTGGTGGAAAGGACAAGGCCAAAAAACCAGGCCCCCAAAATATCATTGGGCTTGATTCCTCTAAGCAATTCTTATTATTTGTAGCCTCAGGTAGTCTTAAAGAGGCTGCAGAAGAAGATATCATTTTATTTTTTTGTTTGAACTTTATTGTTGAGGCTCTCACTTGCTACACTTTCATATTATGATGTTGTAGGGGCTGAGGTTGAGAAAGATGTTCGTATTCAGCGAAGTATTCTCCGGGCTGCAGGCCAGGTATGGAGCATATAGTGTGTGTGAGATTGTGAAGTATGTACCACACAAGTAGCTCTTGCTTGATGCCTCATTTCCACTTTAAGTACTTACACAATCATTCTTGGTAATTACTTAATAACTGTTTCCTTCAAATGTCTTGTTGTATCATTATGAGTTCTTTTTTGTCTGTCTATTTTGGGATACTTTCTGTCTATTTTGGGGTACTTTCTTTTGTACCTTCCTATCATGATTTGATCATTGGCCTATTTCCAATTTTGCATATAGGTCTGATGGAAAATATATTCACGATTGTTATGGTGTTTTAATGGCTATTTCTATTCCTTTTACTTGTTTCCTTGTTTCTGTGTTCTTGACGGAGTACGGGGTGGAGGTTCAATGTCAATAACTAGTTATAGAATTGGTCAGAAAAAAGAATGGCTGTTTATATAATCTTTTGAGGTTGGAAAGCCTTGATTTTTCTTTGAAATATTTTGACTGTAGTTACTCTTATCTTGTTTATTCCCCAGTGGTTGTTGCATCTTGTGTTATTCTGTTAATGTTATTGTGAACTCTCGCACACTCACATGTTTATTGTTTGGAAACATTGAGGCCGTGGGAAGATATTACCTGTATTTTAAGTATATTAGAATTTTGAGGACTGTGTTTAAGTATATTAGAATCTTGAAGACTATAATCATTATGGATGTGTACTTATACCTAGAAATGACATATGGTGCACATGCATGTCTTCTCTGTAGAGCTTTCAATGGACTACCAATTGGGAAATTTTTAATCTTCTCTCAGTTCATGTGCTTGTACTTCAATCTGCTTTGGCACCTTGTGTAATTCTGTTATTTTTTTAGGTCGTTTGTTTCCATATGATGCGGGCCGTGCGGCAAAACAGATGTCAACAATCCTTATATATGAGTTGTCGATTAGTTAGGTCTCAGGGAGATCTGTAATGTATCAGTTATTTTTCCCTTTTTTTTTTTATAACTGTTAACATTGTATAGATGGGTAAGTGAGTACAAGTACACAAAACTGCCCAAGGGAGGTGTCAGTTATTTTTCCTTTCTTTGTGGGAAACCTGATAGATTATAGTAAACAATGATATATTGGATGCATGACTGTCCAATGAAATAATTTGACTATACAGCAGGTGGGATCCCCAGAACAGGGCAACTGGGTCCCACTCTCTCCCATCCATCCACCACTCATCAAATGGACATGATCCCATTGTACTATGGTTGTCCATAATACATGCACTATTCAATGCCTTCTCCTTTTCTTCTGATTGGTAACTGTGAATTATAGTTGGTCACTATGATTTTTCTGACTGTGTGAGTTTATTTATTCCTGCTACAGATGGAAATCCGGGCCGATTTAATGGATGCTCATTTGTATGCTTTTAATAGGTATTATAGAATTTTTGTTTGTGCTGCACTTTTTTACTGTTAATATTTATTATGATAGCTCATATGCTTTGTGTTGATAGGACTGTCCTGCTAGAGGTTTTGAATGAGAAGCCCACATTTCAGAGCATAAAGCTAGATGTAGTGCCGTATCTCGTGAGATCCCAGCTGGTCAGTGTGATAAAATTATTCAAGTCATATTTATCAATTTAGCAGAGATTCTTATCTAATACAATGGACAATGGATAACGCCAATGATATCATCACACAGTGATGATGGACAGAGAGTGGGACCCTCAAGAATTTAACATGACCTCGTGGGTCCTACTCTGTCTTACCATCACTGTCCATCGTTTCATTGGGCAGTGATGACTCCTGTGGGTATTGTTTCGACATGTTCAATTGGATTATAGTGCACTTTCTCTAAATTTAAAATTAAAACTAATAAAATGTACTTCGATGGAAAAAGACCCTATTTAAAGTATATGTTCTTGATTTCCCCTCATTTTTCATATTCTTTAGCTGGTTACCATCTTAATTTCCTTCTCACTAACGATGAACAGGCAACATCATGTGTTTTTACCTGTAGAAGTCAGAGGCTTTGTCCAGTGGGGAACCTCTAAAGGAAGAAGGCTGGAATGAAAATGGAACAACCCAGAATAACCAATCATATATCTCTGAGCAACATGTAATCTCTACCCATGGATTCCTTCAACAGCGTTTATTTGGTTCCAACGGTTTGATTGGTGCACCAAAAATGCGTAAATGTTGTGCTTATATTGCTCCTAAGCACAAGTATTGTGCCCGCTTGAATTCCATTCAAGCTTTTAGTGACATAAATCGAGATGTAAGTGTTTGCCGTTGAAAAATCTGCTTCAATATGTTTTTGATGATTAGATTGTTTTTTACCTCGGTTATGGGTTATTTATTACATTAAATGACACTTACACGCGCGCGTGTGTGTGTATGTGTTTATGAGAGTGCGGTATCTGTGTGTGTGGTGCACTTACACCTACATATGGAAACCTTGACGCCTTGGGGTGTTTTTTTGCAGCATTCGGTTCCCCTTCTTCATTGTTTGATCTTGATCGGATGGTTGAGAATGCTTATGTTACCCCCTTTTTGTTTTTCACTAATTGGATTGGGCTGAAATTTTGGGCATGCATATTTCTCACTCTGGTACATTTGTAAAAAATATTTTAAAAATAAAAGAGCCAAAATACTTGGCAACTTTCAGGGTTATTTTCGTAAATTTAGTTTTTTTTAAGAAATATTTTTTTCATCCATATTTTAATGGATGGCGAAGAGGGGGGAGCAAATGCTTTGGGAAAAACACCCCTGGGCGCATTTTAAGCTTTTTCCATACACCCGTATGTACATATATACATACATACGCACACGCACACATGCATACGCACGTATGTATGTATGTATGTATGTATGTACGGTCTGAGAGGCGTGATAGCCTTTGTACTCAGGATGTCATTGTAACCATGCCCAGGTGATAGGGGAGGCGATTCACCTCACAGGCTATTCTCTATCGTCACACAACAACATTATTCATCCAACAGCAGAGCTTGGAACCAAAACCACAGTGAGATGGAACTATACTTACTGATTTGCCTCCAAACGCAATCATGAATTCTCTTATTTCCTCTTCTGTTTTGAAATTTAGTTCACATGAATTCTTTTGTTTCTACGGGAGTTTTATACTATTTGTGAATACTAGAATTGCGTGTGCATGATTTTCAAAATTTTAATTTTCCTTAATTTCTTTGAGGAATGGGAAAATGGTTCAGGTTGGGCCCCACTGCATGCTTGGAGAAGGATCACAATTGGGAGACAAATGTAGCGTCAAACGATCTGCCATTGGCCGTCACTGCAGGATTGGTTCCAGTGTGAAGGTGTAGCTCCAGCAAACACCACCCATATTTAATTTTAGTTCATTAATAGAAATAGAAAACAAATTCTCTTAGATATGCCCTTTTATTATTATTATGAAAGTGTTATTCTAAGGCACACAAATTTGATTAGAGAGATAAAAAATACCCCTATCTTGGCCATTCTTCTCTGTCGTGTCTATGACAATGAAAAATGCTTGCTTTTCAAATTCATTTCCATGTCTGGTTTGCAAATGAAGAACTTCTAGGTCCACAAATTCACATCTGTATCTAGATTATTTCACTGAAAATAATGTTATATATGTAGAAACATACCGTGTACCTCATAACATTCACTCCGACACTTGACAGTATGTATAAATACATAATACACATACATACACATATAAAGAGATGCTTACTAATTGGAATTCCATTTGAGTCCAAGGATTTTGTTGCTGCTTTTGCTATTTGATTACTCTAGAAATCCATCTCTCCATCAAGAGGGTATAAAGGAGAATTAATAACCAATTGTTCCTTCACGAGTATTTCTTAGAGTACCATGGAATGATTGAGAATGAAATTTAACATTGAATAGTTATAAATAACCGCGGGTCCTGTAATCATCAGCGTGAAGGTAAACTACACAAAGGAAAAGCAAAAAGCGAGGAAGTTTACAATAAGCCCCTCATGGCCTTTATTGTCGATCTATTCCTGAGCCAATTGTTTCATTCCGCCTATGGGTTCCTCTTTTTTCTACCAAGTTTGAGCAGTCTCTTGGTGAATTTTCAATTCGCTTAGTATTCGGCCAGTCGAGCGATAAAGTTTACATGAATAACGGCACACAAGTTGATTGCCTGCTTCTCTTCCTTTAATGTTTCGAATTGGCCACAGGTTTCAGGGTGAATATGGACAAAACCAGAATGATTGGGGTGGCCGCCCATACCATATCCTCTTTGGCTGAAAGACGTTGTGAGGTAGAATCACTTCCCTCATCGTACCTGGGTCTACCCCTTTGCGAGCCCAAATACGGCCAGTGGAGTCATCTCATAGATAAATATGATCGTAAGCTGGCTGGATGCTTATCTGTGGGCAGAATTACCCTTATCAAGGCTACTCTATCAAATGTCTCCATCTTCCAAATGTCACTCTTACCTATACCCTCACGCATTGCCCATTGACTTGAGCAGCTTATGCGTAATTTTCTATGGTCGGGTGATGGGGACAATTACAAATTCCACCTCATCTCTTGGGGTAGGGGTTGTTTGCCTATGCACCTCGGGGCTTGGTTGAGCATTCGTGATCTAGAAAGGAACAACATTGCCATCGACGGCAAGTGGTGGTGGTGGTTGGCCACCCAGGACCACCACCTGTGGCAGCAAGTGGTCCGCTACAAATATCGCCTCCTTCCCTCTCAATGGGTGCCCCACACAAGGATTGGTAGCCAGCCCTCAGGGGCATGGAGATCCATCCTCCACAGCCTTACCCCTTACAAACTTAACATCAGATTTTACTTGGTTGGATCTGTGGCTTGATAAAGCCACCCTGTGCACCCATTTCCCTAGACTGTTTCGTCTTGCTCGCAATGCTCAGGGGACTTTAGCCGATCACTTTGACACCTCTGGCCCCTCTAGAAGTTGGAATCCCAATTTCAGGAGACTGCTGGCTGATCATGGGATTGAAGACTTCCTTGCTTTGTCCATCTTGAACCAAAGAGTATTTCTCCCCCTCCAAGATGACTACCGAATAGTTTGGTCATTTGTTGCCTCGGGCATCTTTTCAGTTTCCTCGTTTTGTCGCTCTCTTTTACATACATCCCTTCCCTCAGGCCTCCCCTCCCCCTCTATGCCGAGGCCTGGTTTCCCTTTATTCCCCTGAGAATACAGGTGTTCAATTGGATAACCCTAGCTGAGTGGGCCTCGACAGGGCACCAGCTACAAAGGAGAGGCTTACCCATACCCAATAGATGCACGATGTGCTTGACAGCCGAAAAAACGAACCCTCACCTCTTTATCCATTGCAGGGTGACCTGCTACTACTCTTTGAGTGGTATGGGTAACTCCGAGAAATGTCCCTGATCTCTTCACCACGTTGCGCCCACTTCCTTGGGCTAAAGCTGGCATCCTGCTTTGGAAGGCGTCAATCGCAGCCACCCTTTGGGTGATCTAGACCGAGAGGAACAATTGGATCTTTCGTGGCGAGTTCAGGACCACGGAAGCATTACAATACCAAGTAAAGGACCTTGTCATATTCTGGACTGAAAATCACAGCCTTTTCAAACACATCTCCTACTAGGATTTCCTTGTTAACTGAGTAGCTTTGCTGCATACCAGACCCACATGCATTCCCCAGGCTTCCCAACTTCGATGGTTGCTCTCTTGGCAACCCAGGCTAGCCAGCATGGGGCATCTTTTGAGACCTACAGGAATGATGCTGCTCTTCTTTTCCAAGTCCATCGGTCAGTCAGACTCCAAGACTGTGGAAACCCTCGCCCTCCTAGAGGGCCTCAAGCTTTTTAACCCGTGCTAGGAACCAGTTGTTCACCCTTCTAAGAGCACAACACCTTCTTTGTACTCGATGGGGATTGTATAGTTCTGTGATACTGCATTTCCTTGTATAGCCCACTTTAAGTGGGCCCTTAAAGCCTGCCCTGACTTGGGGAGGTCATTTTTTTTGCACAATACTATGTAATTACAAAAAATAACGGCACACATGTTGATCTCTTATACATGTCTAGCGCATCTATTGCGTTGTCCAAAAAAAGGCCATACGGGAAGACACATGCTTATAAATATTATTTTATATTAAAAATCATTTATATATTTAAATTTAGAAACCTTACAAAGTCACAATGAGGCCATTTACCTTCCATACAAGGTAGTCACAATTAATCTTGACCGTTGGATGTGAAATTGGATGGCTGCATTTATTCTATTGACCAAGCTCATACTTCAAAAGAAATTTTCCTGAAATTGTGACTTCCTTATATCAAATATAAATGGTCTCATTGTATATAAATCCCATAACTATATGCACAAACACATACATGTACATACATAGATACATTGTCCATATGGATATGGATGCGCTACATGTACATATACATTCTTAGATACACAATTGTTAAAAACTTAAAATATTCATACTTGGTAGCTAACTCGGTCAGTGCTTAAACTAAGTCAACTCACCAAATCAAATAGTTAATTTTGAAAAATTTTGTGATAAGTGTTTTAAAAGGACAAAGCATTTAAATTTAGAATGGGAATCAAACGTTGCTTCCATATTGGAAGTAACGATATCAGTCACATTATCATAAAAACATGGTAAAAGGAAAAGCACAGGCGACAACTTAAGAGTTTTTCATTTATAAAACTCACCAACTTGACTGCTGATTTTTTCTTCTCAAGACGAGTTTTTTTCACTGGTACACAAGCTACATGAATGCATGCACAAATATGGACCATCATGCACATAGATACATTGATTATGCATACATACACATTCAAGCCCAATGTTTCCCTTTCATGATGGATACGTATGTTTTTTTAAACCTGCAGATTATCAACTCGGTTGTCATGAACCATGTTACAATTGAGGATGGGTGCTTAATCCAAAGCTCCGTAGTGTGCAGTAATGTGCACCTTCAAGAGAGAGTAATTTTAAAAGATTGTCAGGTTTGTTATAATCTTCAATTTAGACCTGTTTCTTTATCAACAGCTCCAAAATATTGAAAAAAAGAAGAAGAAAAAGCGGAAGGTATATGTTATACCAGTAGTGTACGGTGGTAATGCTGCACCATAAGGACATCAATGGTGCATTGCCTTGGAGGTGGAGACGAAATGTAGTGCTTGATGGTGGACATTTCACCTATGGTTCGTCTGCACGAGTCGGTAAACGGAATGGCTTGTGGGTGTTCTCTTTGTGTACCGTTTACCATGATGCACCAGTGGTGTGTCTTATTTCTCGGAAACAGAAAAGCCAAGTACTTTTCATTTGTTTCTTATTCTTAAATTCCATGCAGGTTGGAGCAGGCTATGTTGTTTCTGCTGGTAGTCAGCACAAGGCGGACTCGTTGGCGAGGAAAGAGAAAGCATGATATGCCTTTTCCACCTCTGATTTCACGCCTGTTGTTATGATTCTCTCCAACATACAGACATTTGAGAGCCTTTTTGAATTTAATACTTGGTTAGCTTTAATTTTTAATTCAAATTTAATTTGTTTTGCTAATCGATGCTTGTGGGGTTCTACTGCTTTCATGAGCCAAAACAAACCAAAAAAACACCTACCCCAAAAAAAAAAAAAGGACGCATGGGTGGCTTGGAACTTTTCTTAGAACAGGAATGAAATTTTTGCTGTTAGAATCCTGAGGGTTTTGTCCTACTGGTCATTTCTCTGTTTTTGTATATCGAATTCTATATCTGAAGGCGAGCTGGTTTTGGAATATGAGGGTTTTTTTGGATAAGTAAGTTTTGGGATGTGAGTTCTTATGCACTTAAGGTACGTTTTGTTTGTGCATAAATGTTTCCCGAGAAATATTTACATATGCAAATACTTTACCTGCGTAAATATTTGCATATGCATTCGTTTTACCATGATCGTAGCACATTGAAAAGGGCATTGTGTACACAGTTTCATATGATTGGTAGTACTTGGTTGGTGTGAAAATATTTACGCACAACCTCAAGTGATACTTGTTCCTAGTGGAGAAAGCAAGTAAATAGCAAATTACCATCAGAAGCTAGCCGAGATATGAATTGCCCAAGTCAGGCATTTTGCAGCAGCGAAATGCCATGAGACCATTGGCATATATTTCAACCCCCATTTCTCCCTGATTTCTTTTTTTAATGAATACCGAATGGAACCAACTTGGCCAAACTTAAATTTCAGCCATTATGAACTGATTTGCACTGAAAACAGTCAAAGTTGAGGCGGCCTACTAAAAAATTAGATCCATGATTGAATTGAATTGAATTGTGTTGGTTTCGTCTTCCATTTTGAACGAAGAACTACTACGGTTTGATGAGCTTGGCAGTGTTTTGTTCTTCTTTCAAACAATTTAACCAAGAGTTACCTATCTCAAACCAAGTAAATGTCTAGCACATTCCAGAAGAGATTAGCAATTAGGGCGCTGGTTTGTCGCCCAGGGATGGGGCTTTTAGATAGAGAGAGAGACGAGGGACACAGGAGAGAGAGAGGGCTGTGGTTTTCTCGCAGAGGATGGGGCTTTTAGAGAGAGAGAGAGAAGGCTCACAGGAGAGAGAGAGAGGGCTGTGGTTCTCTCGTAGAGGGATGGGGCTTTTAGATTGAGAGAGACAGACGGTCACAGGGGAGAGGGCTCTGGTTTCTTCATAGAGGGATGGGGCTTTTAGAGAGAGAGAGAGAGAGACAAGGGTCATGGAGGAGAGACGAGTCACTGGGGCCTTTTGGATTTAAGTGGAATGATTAAGGTCTGCTGTATTTGGCGGAAGCATGGGAAATATCTTCACACCTCATAAGGTGTGGTTTCATTTTACAATGTATTGGCTTTTTCATGGTAAAATATTTTTCCATGGTAAAATATTTGCATATGCATTTAGAATGAACCAAACGTGTGAAATGTAATTTACATATGTAAATATTTTTCGGAAAATATTTGCACATGAACCAAACGTACCTTTAGTGCATCGAAGTTTTACACAGTACTATAACATCGCGACACCCATTCAATTTGATCAACGGCCTGTTGGTGTGTTGTCCTTAGCTCAAAGTCCCTTCCCATAACAAAACACTCCCCTCCTCTATTGGCATCAGTGATTTAAATAACGCCGGGTCGGCCGATCTGACTCGGGAATTGGTTGCACCGTGCCTATTCTGTCAATATATAGGAAATCTAGCCAGTGATTTGCTACAGTAAAACATTGTTTTACTACATTAAAAATGTTGTTTTGTTATATTAAAAATGTCGTTTCACCAATTTGGATTGATTTTTGGCCGGTTCACTGGTTTTACATGTGTTTTTTCGTCGGTTCACTATTTTTTTTACACAGTAAATGGCGATACTTATCAATCCAAACCGGTTTTTGTGATGCTTGACATGAATCACCCATCCATTTTTTAAATCATTGGTTGACATCCATGATCACATTGATCCATGATATATTTTACCATGCCAATTTCCCTGATACATCTCACCATGCAAATGCTAGCTTTCAAAGAGACACTGGAACAAGGGTACAACTTTTCCTAGTTGTTGCATGGATACTGATACAAGTGTCAATATGTCCAGCGTGTATAATTCTCCATGAGAAAAAGCTTTATATGGCATGTTAGGCACCATACAAAATTTATTTTATGGGATTGTCTACAAAGAAACTATTTATCTTCTGTACATTAACTTTTAAAATGGGTGGTTGTAAGTGTCATTTCATGGATACAAAGTTCCAAAAATAAAATTTCTCAGACTTTGTAACTCATTCTAAACCATCCAATTTGACATTTAATAAGTGTGAATGACTTGACCTCTATGTACAAAAGATAAATAATTTCTTTAAAGATAATTCCTTATTTTATATTAAACAATAGGTTTAAATATAACTTTTTGCAATTTTGTGAAGTTTGTAATGGTAGAGAGTGCTCATCTTGAAGAAGACCTTGGTTCGAACCCAAGGACTGGATGTTATATAATGCGTTTCATTAGTATATAACAAAAAATTTGCCTATATTTTATGCTCGTATGAATTTCTTTGTGGAAGATTTTACTACCGCTTGATACATATCTTAAGTTACGATGTTCACTTTCGAACTTTTTGACACTGTTTTTAATACATTGAATATGTCGACACGTGCTGATGCGCAATATAATGGCATGAGCGGTGTGTTGAGATGTCGACACGTGCTGATACGCAATATAATGGCATGAGCGGTGTGTTGAGATAGCACTGCCCTTTCCCATATAGATTTATATGAAGGGAAAGTGTTTAACAATGTTGTGGCTTCGTCAAGCTGCATTTCAAATTTTGTTGGAAAGTGTAGTTCAAGTGCTAGATAACTTGCAAATGAATCATCATAACCTTTATAATTATAGATTTGCTAAGAAAGAGGACCAAAAAAAAAAAAGGATTTCAAGTTCTAAAAATGATTTATTTTTTTTACATATTTTATCGACTTCAAATTCCAAAGCCAGCTCAAAAATAGATTCACAAGCTTTCACAAAGATTTATCAGGCCCAAACTACATTTACTGATAGGGTTTTGAGGTGCAGCTTTATGAAAGCTTCCAGCCCTACAAAAACCGCACCCTTGCAGGGGTGGCAATGGATCCAGACCTGTAACCAACCTAGCCTCAATCCGGGTTTGGGAAGGGGTTCAAAAATTGGAGCAGGCGGGTTGGGTCCGGGTCAGGGTTCGGTAATATTTTTAGGGTTCCAATTTATGAAATATATTTAAATATAGTTAAATACATAGATATTTTAATTTTTGGATTGGGTCTGATCGGGTCTGATCGGGTCCGAATCCTACACTATATTTTCGGGTCCAGATCTGGGTCTAATAGGAGTTGGACCCAAACCCGGATCCGACCCGTTGCCACCCCTACACCCTTGTATGAAATGCCAAAAATCTCAAATTGCATCTCCTAAAATATCAGATTTGCCCCCACTACCCACTAAAGGAAATAAAAAAAGAAAAGAAAAGAAAAAGAACTTACGGAATGAGGCTAACTATGTTAGGGCATTATACACCGCGGTTCTTGGTCTTTGCCCTTAATTAATTCTTAGGGTTGTATAGATCAATACTTGCACTATTTTGTAATTTCCAAGAGGATAAAATTCTCCATTGCTTGTTAGGGCTGAACAATTTTTTTTTTTTTTTGAGTAGGTAAGCAGGGTTAGAATTCACAAGTCAATGTTTCAATAATAAATGTCTTGTAGTTTAGGTTGTGTTATTTTTCATTACATTTCAAAGTCTATTTTGTCCTATAAAGTTTTTGAACCAACATTTCCTTCTCAGAATTATAATGCAAAAAAAGAGGTATCCCTAAGGTTTTTTGCAGGGAGTGCATTTGGTGAGCTCCCTAGGAGTACATTGTAGATTCCTATCGGTCAGAGACCAAGTTTAGAGTGTTTTCTCGATCTAAACTTTGATCCACTTTAGAATCAGTAGATGACTATTTTCGGAAATAAAAAGAAATAGATTTTGAGCTTATGAACACTTAGATTTAACTGTTAAAAAATTATATAGTCTCCATTTAGTTTTAGGACATACTTCTTTTAAACACTGATAATAAACTTTTAATTTTAATTTTATTTATTTATTTATTTAATTTTTTTCAGTCACTAGGATGAGGAGGTCACATCTTTGAAACCTAAAAATACTCCCAAGCAGGGCTTTTCCCAGAGAAGCATATACCTGTGTGGGCATACAATCTTCTGTCTTTTAATGGCCACATTCATCCCTACATTTCACACTATCTTTTAGGGAAAGGAGTTCTAATGGAGAACAAGTAAGATTTCATGGATGGGCCCACCCATTAAATTTTGGGCATAAGAACTTGACCCCATAATTTTTTAGAAAAATAAAAAAGAAAAACAATCAAATGAAAGAGGCATCTTTGAACTGTTGGCTATGTAGGACACATTCAAAGATTGATCAAGTTTTTATTCAAACCACCTTGCCTATGAATATGCAATGTAATTGGGTTTCTAGGAAAGTATGAATAATGTACTTTAGTAACATGAAGAACCTCAATAACTATCAACAATCAATTGTCTAATTTGGAGGTGGGATTTGATATATATTTTTTAATATTAATTTGGAGATGTGACCAAAATTCCCATCTAGTTGCGGTTCTAAATCTTGAATGAAAAATTTGTAATGGAAAATTGTGTTTTAGTTTAGAATATAGAACAAGTGGGGAGATTTAGGTCATTTGACTCGAGCAATTTAAGTGGCCAACTTATGAAAAATTCCCACTTGTTCTGGATTCTATGTGCGAATAAGCATTTCTTAATAATAATAGTTGAGGAGGTACCTAAGTGAAATAGGTTTTAAAAGGAACTACTTTGTTGATAGATTAGTTGATTTAACCATCTCATTGAATTTCTGAGTTGGTTTGACCATTTTGTTGATATTTCCCATTATTACTTAATTGATTTTTTGTTTATAATTTTTAAAAAGATGAGGTTTCTATAAGGCCAAAGCTTTATGAAAATAAAATTAAGCTTCACCTCAAATCTTTATCCGGAAAGTACTTTAGACATTAGACATCCTTATAATGGCCTTAAAATCAATTTACAACATCGACAATACAATTTGTAACTCAAAAAATGGTACAGATCTTGTGGATATGTTAATACTTATTTTTAGGGGAAATGAATAGTCTAGATGATT